GCATTACTGTTTTAAAACGTGTTCTGATCTTTACAGGCATGTGCAAGGCATGCAGAAAATTGCAAAAGTTTTTTTTTTTGAGTGGGAGGAATAGTTGAGGCATTAGGTGATTATTACTTTTTAAAAATTTGTGTATGTCTTTTCTAACTCCAGCAAATGTTTAGATCTCATAGTGTCTATCTGGAAACCAGAAAATCTTTTCCCCTGTAGAACGAGTTGCTCAGATGCCTTCTAAAACCATTTATGTCTTGGAAGTCATATACTTTTCTTCTTTTCTCATTAGACAGCAATTCAATCTTAAGAGTTCATACAATTTCATCTGCATTTTAGGTTTAGCTTGTTTTCTTAAGGAAACAGGTTTTGCATAAATGCACTGTCCGTATTTTTGCCAGCGTCATCCTCTCACCCTAATAACTTCTGAACAATGTAGCCAATTTCAAGCAAAGCTGCTAGAAGCAGACATCTCAAAGACATATCTCAAACTTCCTACTGGTTATGCAAAAATCAGTGTCTGGGTAGAAGGCAGATGCAAAGTTTTACCCAATGAAGGAAAGGCAGGAGCAGGCACTAGGCCTCTCCCGAGCGCAGTCGGCCGGCAGCGTGTGCGCTTTGGCCGGCTCCTCGGGACACGCATGGCTCCAGCCTGTTGTAATTATCCTGTCAGTGGTTTCCTGGGCTATAGTTAGGGGAGGTGAGAGGATGCTCAGGGAGAGAAGGAAGGAGGAAGGTGGGGTACAGTAGGAAGCTGGGAGTTTACAGAGAGTTGAATAGGGAGAGCTGGAAGCACGCTGGGGAGCGAGGTTTGGAACAAGGGACAGATGCCTGCAAGGCAGCAGGCCTCCTACTTTCAGCTTCTCATTGGGAGACCTGTTTTTTAACAGTGTGCTGTGAGTAGGGGGAGTCATGCTCTGTTATCTCCCACTAATAGCATAAATAAATTGTCCGAAATTCCATACCTAAGCAAAATAATTCTGGAAGCTTTAGTTGATTCTTGCCTTAAGAGATAGAAGAAACATTGTTTTGCCTTTTTTTTTTCTGTTCAAACATCTTACTTTTATGAAAGATAATTTTAACAAGTAAAAGCTATCTCATTATTATACATAAGCAATTCTCAAGCTTGAATTAATTATTCTTATTGTTACTATTAGAGCAAGAGTAAAATACTGAAAGAAGTTGTGAATTTATGAAATATTAAAAGACAGGAAATGAATCCTTATGTGGATCCTTTGCAAGTGTTAACATGCAAAGTTATGGGGTGTTACTTCTACCTTCACCTCATTTTGCTTATTTTAAATGTAAAATTCTAAGCACATATCTAGCTTTTTAATGTACTTTAGTCTGTGGGCTGTCTTGTGGCATTGATCTTAGACAAACTACTTATTGTTCTTAATGGGAAAATCTATTGATTTAAAAAAAAAAGCAAAAAGCCAATGGTGTGACATGGCTTGTTAAGGGATGTTTATCAGTTTATGAAATTAAGCCAATCAGCTAGCAGCTCCCCAGCCCATTGCCCCTGTAAAAGTGCAGCCTCTTTTGCTGTGCCCTGGTGTTGGGCACTGAAGTCCTTTGAGTTCCCGATGAGCTCCTCGATGCACCCTTTCCCTCTCTCACTGCTTTACTAGAAGGAAACCTGTGGGACAGCCTGACGCGAGCCACAGCATGTTCTAGTCCAGATAATTAGCAGTAGAAAAGTAGTTTTTCTGTTAAAACTTCCCATTACCTGCCTGAAATGGGGTGCTGGGCAGTAGGCTGGACAGCTGTAGAGGACAAAGGCAAAGAAATAAAAGTCAGTTAGGTACCATCCTTCCAGGATGAGGGGAGTAACAGACTGCTGGGAATGTAATCTGATGTCTGTTCATAGTTCTTATCCATTGCAGATAACGAGACAGCTCATTGACAGTGATTTTTTTTTATGAACTCCCGTGGGAAATGCACAACCACTTATGATGTGCTTGTTGAACCTTCATTTCATGGGTGACAGGAGTTTCTAGGGTCCCAGTTTCAAACCAACCTGTCCGTGCCCTCGGTTTCAGGACTCTGACTCATATCTGGGAACAGGTTAAAAGTTGTAAGAACCAATTATTTTTCCCTGCCTGAGTTTGTGCTGTCCTGTGCCAGAGGGACTGAATGTCTGTGGAACAGCTCCTAAACTGTTGTGGTTTTAAGATGAAGAAAGCCTTGTTCCAGAAGCTTGATATTGATGCACCTGAAAGTTAAAGTACCTCTTTTTGGCTCTGCATTTGTGATGATGTGGCTTTCTAGCATAGTAGTTTTTTACAAAGTGGACTCATTGGTGGTGACCCAGCCAATACATTGAATACTCCTGCATGTTTTATACAGTTGTCTGTTCTGGTTTTTGGTTGATATGTGCTGTCATGTGAGGTGGGCTTCGTATTTGACTTTTTAATAAACAAAAAATTTCAGGGTCAATATAATTTCATTTGACTGAAATGATACTACAGGTCTGAATTTTTGTTTGTGCAGTGATTAGTAGCTGGGAAATGGAGCATATGGGAAAAAAGGAATGAAAAATTCCTCTAGATGTTTTCCTGCTACCATTAAGGGTTCAAAAAGTAAAAAAGCCAGTCTCAGAATTTATTTAATTTTGGTAGTGAGGGCGGATTAATTTACTCACTATTTTCAGTGCTCATTCCACTGCAGTTTATTTTGGGTCATTTAATTTCAACAAGGCTTGATCTGTTTAGAGGGCTTTCTATAGCAGCGTGGTGAGACCACACAGCTCTTTTATAGTACATACGTTCATTGCTAACCGGGAGCTCAAAGAACTGGTAAACGATGCACAGACATGAATAACTTCAGAGAGGACAGTACATTTCTGTATGGTTGGATTATTTTGAAAGTTTTCAGAAATAACCAATCTTTTGTGCACTGTGGCTTGCTTTGCAGAGCTTGAAGTGATGGTATAGAGTAGATGTGTGCTTTCAGAGGTAAGACTGGAGGTCTGGCTGAAGGCACTCTTCAGGTTTAAGGTACTTCAGAAGCCACTGTGCATGAGAGTTGCTCTTAGTCCTTGTTTAAGGAAAAGTTTTCATTCCATAGGTTGATATTTCCATCAGATTCAGTAGTTTGATATGATTTTGGTTTTTTAATTTTTAGATTTGCTGTAGGAGCCATTCATGTACAATATGGGCTAAGGTAAAATAAATATCAGTTAAAAATGTCTAAATCAGTTGGCCTCATCAGCCAATAAAAAAGCATATGCTCATTGTCTGTGCTGGATCTGCTCCAGTTTAGCATTATGATGGTAAAGGCCACATTCCCCCCAAATGAAGGAGCCAGCTTTCTTTCTTGTCCATCAAATCACAGCTATTTCTGGTTCTGCTCATGCCAGCTGACAGAGTAATGTTCCTTTTGTGTAATTCATTAAATCAGGCAGCATTAGTGATTCTCTCAACAGAAGGAAGGCCTAATGTCCTGAAAGTGGTTGCAACTGTACTAGGAGGTTGAAACAGCACTGAGACTATTGTTCCTGAGTGTTGAGGCCATTGCTTGTTCTTAAATTTTTAGCTTTCTTGTATTGTCTGGCTTCTGCTATTTAGCATACTCCCAGCAGCAGCCAGGGGCAGTTCAGGAAAGGGCTGTTCTCAATAGTTTAATAGTGTGGAAATAGATATTTGCATTCCCATCAGCCTTGACACAGGAGAAGCTTCCTGACCATGTTTAACTCACCCCTTAACAGTTAGTTATGACGTCCTTGTAGCAAATTAGGGGCAGAATCCACTCTTTTTTGGTGTCTAAGTCAAAAGTATAACAGTAACACTGGTTTTGGGACATTTGAAGCATGTTGAAAGTTTTGTAGCAGTGTGTGTGTGTGCATACACAGAGTCATTGTATGTCTGTACTGTGTGATATTCCTGCATAGGGATCTGGATGCTTTATTGACTATAGAAGGCTATTCCTGCTTGTCTGCAAATAGTAAAGCCCTAATACCAGTGAATGGGAAATTTAAAAAACACTTAAAAACATCTCAATTTGGAAACAACTTATACAGGTTGAGTGTATCCAATCCGCTTTGACTAATGCTTTAGGCCCTCTAGTCACAGCTCTTAAAACTCTGTGATTGTTTGTGAGCCCTGTCATCAAGGAGCCTCTGATCTCAGCAGGTCCTGCCCTGCAGCTGCACAACCTCCTGGTGCACCCTACGATTTCCCTTTCTGGGGGAAAATATATCAGTGCATCCTATGCTGCTCTACCTGTGTTTGTGGTCAGCTTGTACATCCATCTCCTCTAACCCAAGCCACCTCAAAATGACAGCCCACCTGTATTTTTAGTCTCTTATTGTCTTGTAACTGTCTAAAAACTCCTCCTTTCATGTTGATTGGAGGTGTCCTTTTGCTGTGTATCTTCAGATTTAGGAGCATGCACTGCTTCTAAATTTAGGCTGTAAAAGTACCACCTTTACTTCTTTTATACTTGAATGGAAATAGTTCAAAGTTGTGCTGATGTAATAAAAACAGGAGGCTGGAAGGCAGTGAACTGGAATAAGGGTGAATGTATGAGAGAACACAAGGCAATTTTAGATCCTCCCTGCCATGATCATACAATTATTTTTAATATGGCTACATTTCTCTTAAAGAAGGTTTCAATTTGTTATTCATAATGTGATGTCATTTAATAAAAAAATTTATGTTACGGTAACACCAGATACTTCAGCCAGGATGTCATGAGAGGCAGTTCAGGCAGTCTGGACAGTTCTGAGATTATTAATTGTATGGCAGTGATCTGTACTTAACAATAAAAATACTGATTCACAGCCTTTCTCTTTTGTTTTTCAGTGGCTAATAGCCTTAATGATCAATCAGAGGTGGTGGGCTGAGGTAGAGCTCAAGGCCATCAGCTCCTTTCAGCCCTCTACATAGTTCCCAGGAAACACCCTGTGTTTCATTAGTTGTTGCTTGGCTTATGATGTAATATTTTGCTCTAAGGCATTGAACTATCATCAAAAGCAACCGACTGATTACTGTGACTTCTTTTTCCAGGGTCGTTGTACAAGGGAGAACTGCAAGTACCTTCATCCACCAACACATTTAAAAACTCAACTGGAAATCAATGGCAGGAACAACTTAATCCAGCAAAAAACTGCAGCAGCAATGCTCGCCCAGCAAATGCAGTTCATGTTTCCAGGGACACCACTACAGCCAGTGGTAAGTATATTTCTCTGGTGGTCTTAATGGTAAGTAAAGTTTAAGACTCTGTTGACCTGCAAAAGTTCTCTAAATAGTATCAATAAAAATAGCCCCTGTCTGTTTACTTAACGAATGGTCAAGATGCTGGAGATATGCTCATTTAGATTTGCATTTCAAGATGTAATGGAGTGTTGCTGTAGTCTTGATTTATTTTTCTTTAATGCCATAATAATTTGCATTTTTCCCTCTTTTTTTGCCCCCTTGATGCATTTCATGTCATGAATTTTTAAGATTTTGCAAGATTTTTACCTATAATTCTTCTGGAGGTGAAAATTTGTATAATAACAATAATTTGCTAGTAAGTAATTTGAGTAGGAACACAAAGTTTTTCAGGAGTCTATGGGTCTGAATGGCTTTAAATATTATTTAATCCCATACCAAGAACAAAGGTTAACGATTAGCATTTTCTTACTCTGTTGAAGTCTGAAGTGTCTGAGGATAAGACAGAGAATTGGTGGTGCATGCACTTCACAAACTCAGTGTTTTGTCTCAAGGTGATTCATACGGTGCCTGAGACACTTCATATCCAGAAGGTGATATAGAACTAGAGTCTAGCATGCATGACCAGCATCTTCAGATATGCACTAAAGTGATCAGTTGCTCTGGGCAGTCCTTGCAGTTGGGCTTCTCAGTGTAGCAGACTTCTAAAGCATGGTTTGGCAAGTAATCTGAATTAAACTTTTCACACATGGCTGCTAATGATGTTTTTTCAATCTAAATTCCTAGTGTAAGGCATCCCACTAGAGTGGGATTTTTTTCTCTAACTTGAGGCATCTGGAGTGTTGGCATCAACTTCTGCAGTGAGTTTCCAAGGTCCATTTATAGTTTATCAAAAGACATAGGCACTCCTAATTACTATTTGCTTGGCTTGTTCCAGACATCAGCATTTGGATTAGGTGATTTAGTTTTCAAAGTGCCTTTGTCTTTCCATGGGCTACCACAGAAGTCAAGTGTAGGTATCTCAGAAGAAGACATCTGCATTTGGTCACAGGAAGCTCACCCCAGATGCCTTTTTCAGTAATGCCTTTTTATACTTCAAAACATCCACTGTCAGGTTGGATTGGGCATTGAGTGTCAGGACTCCCTGAATTTCTGGTACATGTTCATCAAATTGTATCTGGTGATGTTGGCCTCCTAATGTATCTTGATATTTCCTAGGGATTTACTGCTTGAGTTTTCACCAGAAAACGTTTTGCTGAAGTAATAGATTCCACCACTTAATATTATGTGAAAAATTGAAGTGGCAAAATTATAACTTTTTTCTTCTCATCCATTTCATCATTTGAACTTTACAATTTCATTGACATAATGCCTTCTGTACTGATTGCTGTGATAAAAATGCCAGGCCTGTCTCACACAAAGTGCCAGACTAAGATGACTCAGCCTTGACCAAATGGATAAAAAGTGAAAGAAAATTTCATAGAAGTCATTTGATGAGTGGATTTTTTTCATAAAATTATGTCTGACACAAAGCTGTTATTTGTATTTCACATAACATATATTGTTTTCAACAAACATAGTCAAACCATTGTTTCATATAAATATTCATTATTATGCTCTTCAAATTAAGCTCATGTTTGACATATAAACTGGATTGCTTGATATCAAGCAGATTTGATCACTATTAGAACACAGCATTTTTAACTCTTAAGGGCAGTTAGATGCCATTTCTGTATAGTTGGTTATCCTGGTTAATCTGTATACTCAGAGCATCTTATTGGTGCTAAGTCACATCCATTTATAATTTAGTAATTGGTTCCAAAGACAAAAAAATCCCAAGAAAACGAAATACAAACAAAAAAGAAAAACAACTGCCTTCTAGCTGCTGTGTTTTCTCTTGCGTATTTTTTACATACTTTATGTCATGCAGGCCACTTTAACAAGAAAGACACTTCTCCTTTGTTAAAGTGTTTTGAAGTCTTAGTGTTGTGCTGTTGTGTTTCTAGCTGCTGGCTTATTTGGGAACCTAATTTCTGACAAAGCTGATCAGAGATCAGTGTCCTGTTTTTGCACAAAGTTTTTCCTCATTTATAATTATAGCTTCACTCTCTGGGGTACTCAGCTCTGCAGAACTAAAGCACTCTGCAGGTCTGAGCATGAGCTGACCATGGTGATGTCCTGCCTCCACCCCCTGTGGAGCTGGTGTTAACAAACCCACTATTCTGCCTCATCACGGCTGCTGTAGCATCACACAAATGCCCTTTCTTCTGGTCATGACTTCACTGACTCACTGTAGGAAGAAACAAAACAAGATTTTTAGACCCGTATCATTCCCTCCAATCAAAGTTTTTCATATGATGAACTAATATAAGCTTGAATAATCCCTTTCTAAATATTGTGTCCAGCTGAGATTATAATATTTATTCTGCTTGCCACTGGTGACAGCTGAGCACACAAATTTTGTGAAGTTGAGTTTTTTCAGTGTATGAGACACAGTAACATATAATTGCAGGAGGTGGCAAAATACAGTATGCAAACATACTGGAAGTTACATGCCAAAGAGCTCATTATATGTACTCTTATTAGAAATATGGCTTTAATATAGTTAATAATGCTTCAGCTATGAAATCTGAATACTTTGAAAAACAGCCTGTTTTTCCAAGGAAAACAGGTATTGAGAAAAAGCAATAAAGTCTATGTTATTTCTACATTTAGGTGCGTAAATAAGCCTGCAATGTAAGCTGGACCTCCACACAGATTCAGGTTCAATGTAGGACTTCCTTTGCATCTGCAGACTCTTTTCCAATAATAGAGTTACAAAGGTGGTTCTTCATGTACTGCTGGAATATGTTACATGATTAAAAGAAGAGAGGATGCTGTGTATTTTGCCAGCTGTTTGAAGTTTTTTCAGCAAGAAAATGAACCAGTGCCAGAAAGAACAGCAAGCAAAGAACAACTAGTAAGCTATTGATTAAGGAGTTTTTATTTCACCTTGGTGTGTGTTTTCCTTTTCCAGCCCACATTTCCGGTGGGTCCCACAATAGGAACGAACACGGCTATTAGCTTTGCTCCTTACCTAACGCCAGTAACACCAGGAGTTGGCTTAGTCCCGACTGAGATCCTACCCACGCCGCCTGTCATTGTTCCTGGAAGTCCACCGGTTTCAGTCCCCAGTTCAACTGCTACCCAGAAACTCCTCAGGACTGATAAACTGGAGGTACTGTAGACTAGAAACACATTCTCTGTTAGGTTGTGTGAGAGATCTTAGAGGGTATGACTGTTGTTTTAGAAGCGAAGCTTAAATTTAGTAGCTACAGATAAAAAACTTGTAACCAGGCAGGATTTCTGCACTTGCAGCCAGTGGTAATTAAACACTGTTTTTTTAAGGTTGTTTTTGCTTATATTTAATACACAGATGAGTTTTCATTTTTTTTAAGTTCATCATCTCAAAAACCTCATGTATACATGCCTGTAAAGGCATCCCTTGATGAAATATCTAACAAGCACATTTTTTATTTCAGTAATAATTGTCTAGGTTTTTCTGCACTGATAATAAGGTAATTTTATAGCTTTATGGATTGGTATTAGGGGAATGGTGTAGCCCTTCAGCCCTGAGCTGCCAATGGGGATGTGGAATATTACCAACCCTGCAGCAGTCTGAAGGGACAATCCCCCAGCTATGTGCAGAGCCTCGCAGCAGTTGCTGGATCACTGCGTGGCTGGACTCAGTGGAATCTGTGATCCGAGTACACAAGGAGGCCAAATGGCTCTTGCAGAAATGAATGTCCTTTCCCAAAAGCCTAAGCACCAGTGTCTTGAGCACATTTCTTCTTAGGAAAATAAGTGTATTCATTCTGCCTATTTTTGAAAATTATTTTTAAGTAGGCTCTCAGTTTTGTTTGTAGACTCCATAAAAAATGCAGTGCATCTGATGTGTATTTTCCCTGGGTTTCAGCAAGAGGAACTCCTTCCCTACCAGCCCACCTGCAAGAATACAAAGTGTAGTCAGAAAGAGACAAAATATTTTGTGATTCCCAGCTAGTTTTGCAGGAGCAGTTATGTAAGTATCCTTCCCAGCTGCTTTTTAAACAGGAAAAAATAAAAGGCATTTGGGAATGCTTCTGTTATTTAACCACAGTACCAGAGAGCTACCTAAGGAGCCAACAACATGAAGATAAAATAGGTGCATTCCCCTCACCCACCAAAAGATGCAGGGTTTATTAAACTGAAGTTGCTGTAAAACTTGAACTAGCAGGGGAAGGGGGCAGGCCTGTCTTTTGGGGGCGTGGGACCCTCCCTGCCCTTCCAGGCTGCAGCGAGCTGTGCCCTGCAATGTGTGTTGTTTTGCGCGTAGGTGTGCAGGGAGTTCCAGCGGGGGAACTGTGCGCGTGGAGAGACTGATTGCCGCTTTGCGCATCCGGCAGACAGCACAATGATTGACACAAATGACAACACCGTAACCGTGTGTATGGATTACATAAAAGGTCGTTGCATGAGGGAGAAATGCAAGTATTTTCACCCTCCTGCACATTTGCAGGCCAAAATCAAAGCGGCGCAACACCAAGCCAACCAGGCTGCAGTGGCAGCCCAGGCAGCTGCGGCAGCTGCGACTGTGATGGTAAGTGCTGGCATGTATGGCTGCCTTTTTTTTGATGCCTATTTTGCTTCAATTTAATGCTGTTTGCTTATACTTTCTTTTCTCTTTTGCCTCTTTTGTTTTTTAATTTTTTTTTGGTGAAAGATAAGAATTTATAAAATTATTACTATTGCTTGATGGGAGGAAGCACTTTCTTTTCTTTATGCCCTTGTTTTAATGTGTATTTCTATCCAAGACAGTGAAGCAAATGACACTCTATACCACTTCTGTTCTCTGCCTTAATTATATGTAAATTTGCCCCTCGTATTTCCAAACAGAAACAAAACTGATAAGCTTCAGTGTTCCCAGGAAAACAGGGACACATATGCTGTTTTAGCTCTTTGATGGCAGATATATACATGTGGAAATTTGGAAGAAAAGCAAAGAGAGAGTGTTTGCTTCAGAGATCAGTAGTAGAACAGAAACCTGTACTGAGATCAGCACAGTCTGCCTTAGAAACGAGACAACCAGCCAGCCACCTTGGTCTCACTGTACTGGCAATGTAGAAAAGCCAGGACACTCATCTGATGTACCATTAGTACCTGCCTGAGGATGAGAAAGAACTGCCCTCTGTAGATCTACAGCTATCCCCAATGACTAAAAAGTGTTGCCTGTGTATTTTTGAACTTTGGTTAGACACATTTCATGCCTAGAGACTTCTTGCCTCTCCTTCTATTATGGGCCAGTTACTTGAATCATGAGGTTTTAAAGTAGTAAACTGTAATGGGAATCATTAGGAAAGAAAGATTGTGGCTACAGTCAGAAGAAAAGAGAGTGAGTGATCATAAATGTGATTTATTTTCAGATATTTTAACCTCTTACTTAAAACTCTTCAGACAAGACAGCCCACCTCTTCACCAGGATTGGATTCCTCTTACAGTTGCTACCAGGAAAGTTGATGAGTTTGCAGTGGTATCGATAAAGTTAAATAAATTGAACATCCAGGATCTGACTTGAGAGACAAAACTGTGGCAGCAAATCAAAGAATCATTGTCCTCATTGCTGGCAGTGGACGAATAATTAAGCAGATGTGGTTTGTGGACTTGTGGGCAGTGCATACAATAGTTATAGACAATACAGTTATTCTCTGGTCTAAAGGCCTACAAGAAACACAGTACAGTACATAACTACCCCAAGCTATTGTATTTAACAAATTAGAAAAGACCAGACTTTTCTGAGGGACAAAGGGTAAGTTATGCAAGAAAGCAAACCATCATACAGAAGAATATTTCTTAAGTTTCAATATTCTTTCTCTAATAGCATCACAGCCTGTGTTTCAAATTGGATGATTTTTAGTTAAAGTTTCCTGTGCTTGCAGAAATTGAATACCATCTGGAAATTAAAGCAGAGAAGATTGGGGTTTTATTCTGATTAGCTTCTGTTGTGCAATATTTATTGTTCATTTAGAGAATGTAATATTTCTAGGCACTATACTAAATAAGAAAGGAGAGAGATGAGGGGATTAATTTTTTTTGCGCTTTGGTAATGGTTGCAGATATATATCCTGGGGTTTTAAATAAGGCTTAATTAGAGTTGCATTAGCCTCAAAGCAAGATGAAGCATCTTTGGAAACACAGAATTGAAATGTTATCAGTCTAATATCACAGGAGAAGGCAACAGGGACCTGTAATTCAGGGTAACATTTTGCAGAGAAATATGTACAAAATATTCTAGCCTGTTTCCCCTGCTTAAGCAGAGGAGCTAGAGGAGATTGCCCAGGATGTGCCTGTTTGGTTTACTAATGTCTCTAAGGATGGAAACTCCATAACTTGAAAGCCTGTTCCATACTTCCAGTAAAAAGAAATGCCTTTTTTTTTTTTTTAAATCTTACATTTAAATGGAATTTCTTTTATTTAAATTTGTTTCTATTGCCTCTTCTCCTGTCCCCGGGCACCACTGGCTCCATCTTTACCCTGGAATCAGGTATTTGTATACGCTGATGAGATTCCCCTGTATCTTCTGTAGGCTGTATCCAGTCCCTTGATCATCTTTCAAGTCCTTTATGGGAGTGTTTTCTAGTACACCTGTATCTTTCTTGTACTGGGGTGCCCAGATAGGGACAGAAGGCTCCATATGTGGCCTCACCAGGGCTTAGTGGAGGGGAAGAATCACCTCCCTCCACCTGTTGGTGATACTCTTCCTGATGTAGCCCAGTATTCCATTAGCTGCCTTTGCTTTTGAGGACACATTGCTGGCTTGGTGTCCACCAGGATCTTGAGGGTCTTTTCTGCCAAGCCTTTGTGGCCCCCAGCATATGCTAGTGCCTTGTGATGTTCCCCCCCAGGTACAGGTCTTGATACTTGTTGGACTTTGTGAAGTTCCTCTGCGCCCATTTCTCCAGACTTCCTAGGCCTTCTGAGCAGTAGCATGTCTATCTTGTGTATCAACCTCTCCTCCAAGTTTCACACCACTGGTGACTGGCCTCCAGCTGGGCTCTGTGTTGCTGGTCACATCCCTTTGAGCCTGGCATGTGAGACAATTGTCAGTCCACCTCCCTTTTTCCCATTTAGCCCATGATAAATAAATCTGTCCATGAGGATGAAATGGTGTTGAAATCCTTTCTGAAATCAAGAGAAACCACATCCTTTGCTCTCCCTTCACCGCCCTGTCAGTCTTATCATAGAAGGATGTCAGGCTGGTTAAGCACAATTTCCCTGTCATAAATCTATGGTGACTACTTCCCATCATTGTCTTGGCTTTCATGTGTTTGCAGATGATTTTCAGGAGGATTTGCTCAATTGCTTTCCCAGGGACTGAGGTGAGGCTGGCCAACCTGCTAGTCCTCAGACCTCCCTTCCTGCCCTTTTTGAAGATAGGAGTGTCATTTACTTTCTTGCAGACTTTGGGAATTTCCCTCAGTCACAGGGACCTTTCAAATATAAGTAAGAGTAACCTTGCAGTGACATTGGCCACCACCCAGGGTGCATTCTGTTAGTTCCTATGGCTCTGTGTACATACAGCTTGTTTAAATGTTCCCTAACCTGATCATCCTCCCCCAAGGGGAAATCTTTTTCACTTCAGACTTTCCCACTGGTCTCCCACTGGCCTGAAAGCCAGTCATGCCAGTAGAGACTGAGATGGAAAGGATTTTCTGAACCTCAGCCTTCTCCATGTCCTGTCACCAGGTTGCCTGCCCCACTGAGCAGTGGAAACACATTTTCTCTAGTCTTCCTTTTGTTGCTCAGAAGCCCTTCTGGTTGTCTTTCACATCCCTTGCCAGATTCAACTCCAGGTGATCTTTGACTTTCCTAACATATCCCTGCATGTTCAGGCTGTGTCCCTGTTCTCCTGACGCATCTGTCCCTGCTCCCACCTCTTGTGGGCTTTCCTTCTTTCATTTGAGTTTAGTCAGGAGCTCCTTGCACATTCATGGAGGCCACTGCTGTGTGGATCTTGTTTGTATTCCAGGAGACATTATAGCATACCAATGTGCTGTATGGCAGGCAAATACTATGCCTTGGATGTTTGATCATTTTTAATATTGTCTTTATTTCCTTTTTGTATCCTCTTCCTCTCTATCCTGTAGCTATGGATTAGTTGGTTGTTAGTTATGTAGATCAAATGTTGAGTAGGAGATAATCTGATGGAACAAAAGGAGGCAAAGGAGGTGTTACTATCAGGATGAAATAAAAGAAAATATTAATGTAGGAGAGCAAAATGAGCAGTTTGAAAGCTTGAAAAGAATGGGAGACTTCATGGAAGCAAGGTTGATGAGTGTGTTTAGAACAGATCAAGCCTTTGGGCTGGGAAGACTAAGACTGAACTTGCTGGGGAATATGAGGGGAAAGCCAGAAGAAAGCTTCAAAGTAGGGAGGTGATGTTAAGAAGAGCATGGAGAAAAATTGGAGAAAGGTAATAATAAACAAAGAGATAATAAGTTAACAAGTGAGATGAGACAAGATCTGTATTTGGATAAGAAAGGTAATTAACTGAAACGCTTTAGTCTTGGTGAAGTTGATTTGAACTTGTGCACTTCATCATTGCATAGTGCTGAATTCAGTTGCACTGTGTCACCTCTGTGTGGATTTCCCTCTGTGGTGGAGGCAGAGTAGCTCTGAGGCTGTGCCCCAGGCAGTGCAGTGATGTCCTCTGCAGTGGTACCTGCTCAGTGTCCTGCTCAGACAGAAGTCTGTGCTGATCCCCACTTCAGACTAGGTGTTTCTTGTTGTGTCTGGGTCTTGGGCCCAGAGAGATGAGCAGATCCTGTAGATCAGGTATGTAATCCAGAAAAGTGCTAAAGAAGAGATGAGGAGGGTGTTGACAAGACTCATGCTACAGAGACAAGTACAAGAAATAAGTAAAATTTTGAGGACTGTCCTGCAGAATACCCTGTTGGCACCTGATAAACTTATGACCACAAGATGTTCTCAGGCATTTTGTGCCTTGCCCTCTTCCTCCACCTCAGCTTTTGTTCCCTATTTCCACATACTGATTTCAAGGTAGACATAATCTGCATATTCTAAAAAGAGCTAAATATCAGCCCGTGCTTAAGAAACAAAAGTAAAAATTTCAATTTCTAAGTAAATTTCTCTTTCCTTTCTAAAGGTTTGTAAGAATTATTTACACTATAAAACTTGAAAGTAATATTTTATATGAGGAATTTTTTTACAGAATGCTGTCATATCAGCCATAATTTTGAATTTACTATGAAAGAATACATAAATGTATATGCCTATGTATTATGCCTAAATACTTTCTTCTGAAAAATTAATAATGCTGGACTAGTATCATAACTCATATGTTAATGTTGGCATATGAACTGGGAGCCCAATTTTACTCCCTGCTTCTGAAGCTAGTAACTGAAGGTTATAGCAAAATTTAGAAAGTATGTTTTCAATTCTGAAAGACCTTTTTCCCTCTCAATGTAATGTGGTAAGTTACAAGATTAAAAAAATCTACAAAAATGACCCAGCTGTAGGAGGAAAGAAAAGGAATTAATGATAAGTTAGTGTAACTGGACATCCTATGTACTGTGGTTTGTATTGGTGAATGAGAATCTCTCTCATTTTGACCATTGAATGATTCACTTCTCTAAATTAAAAGACAATCACCTTGTAAGCACTGATATTAATAGCATTTGTAATGCATTACAACTTTCAGTAGTTTTTTGTGTTTGAAAATGTAACCTCCAAAATCAATTTTCTCACTTCAAAATGTGACCGAACTGACTTATCAGGAATTCCAATAGGTGTATCCTTAAAACTTTCTGCATCTCTGTGAAGTGTTTATATGATGCTTAATAGTGTCTGCAAGCTGCTGTTTTACTCAACTTTCCTGAATTTCAAACATCTATATTTTACTCTCTTATATGCTTTTAACTAAGGTATAGTAGATGCATTTTTGCTTCGGTACTAATTCAAAATGTAATATTCATTTCTTTAGAAGACATTTTTGTTGTTGTGCATGCCTAGTGTTTTGTATGTTGTATATTGCATTCAGAATATTTTTTTCCTTCTCACCTATCCACAAATGCAATGCCGTTCCCATGACGCACCTCTGCTTGCTGTTTACCTGTATGTTAATTCGCTTGACTCCCATTGGCCCACTGCCATCATGTGCTCGCTGCCTGTTATTAAAAGACTCAGTCGACTGCCAAAGCAATGAAGCGACCTCTCGAAGCAACTGTAGACCTGGTACTTTGACCTTTCACCTTTTGCTTTGCATGTAGCTTTTTTTAATTTTATTTTGGTTTATTATAATTTTTTTTGGTTTTTTTTTCCTTCAGAGAAGCAACTAATGAAATTTGTATCGCTTTACTTTTCAAACATCAACCGGAAATGATTTCACATACTCATTAATTTACCGGAAGCTCTATTTATCCATCTCATTCTCATACGTAATAGACCGCAGACGATTTAGTTTGGTTCCTAACACAGTTTCATCTTTTTTAAATCTCTCATGAAAAGTCGAATTGAGATAAAACTGCTTTTGTAATTGAAAATGCATAACGTAATCCATTAATCTGTATAATAATAGGAAACTATATTTAAATTTAAAAATAAAAGAAAATACTTGGCAATGAAACACAAGTGGTTTTTTCTCCCTGTAATATTTGAAAACCTACTTAAAGGCAATGCCATTTTCGTTGCTTTAAAGCAAACGTTTCTTTTCAGTAGTTGTGCTGCTGCAGTTCTAGGTGAATAGTACCATGCTTTTGCTACCAATAACAAAATTTCACTCATTTTACATTGCTGTGCTTTGAGTTAATATGCATGGCGAGGCATCCTTAGCCGCTTTTAAAATTACTAAGTTTTTGTATTTATGTATATGTTACGGACAAGGTCTTAAAAATGGAGCCATTTTAACTAACTTTCTTATTTACAGGCCTTTCCTCCTGGTGTTCTTCATCCTTTACCAAAGAGACAAGCACTTGAAAAAAGCAATGGTGCCAGTGCCGTTTTCAATCCCAGTGTCTTGCACTATCAACAGGCTCTTGCCAATGCTCAGTTGCAGCAACATGCAGCGTTTATCCCGACAGGTATGTTGTATCCACATTGAACCCGTTTAGTGTCCCTGAGGTAGCCTCTGTGTCAGGCACTTGCACTTAACAGAAGGTTTTGTCATGCTCCCTTCCCCACTTGAGGTGAAGCCTGCACAGATGATTGCACATTATTTTAATTCCTCTTGCAAAGGACAAGAATTCAAGCAGAAATTTCAACATGCCGTTAAGCTGCTTTTTTGCTCATTCATAGCCTTGCTCATCATTCTCCAGAGTTTGCCTTTGCCCCTTTTTGCCTACTGTAAATTGGCTGGATTTTGACTCGTATCTGTTTCCACTAACAAAAATGCCGGGGAAAGCATCGTGCTTCAGAGGTGCCACAGCATCCTTCTGCTCCCTCAGCTGCTGTCTTGCAGCTGTGGGGATTTCCCCAGCCCCACACGAGCACCCTGAGAAGGGGAACACCAGCCATAAATTTCCAGTCAACACCTGCGTGGAAGCACTGGTAAAAAACATCACTCCCCACAGCTGCACTTAAGGGTTTTCAGGCATCAGATGCATTTTCGTGGTTTTGGAGCACCACCAGAACTTTTCCTAGCATTTGTGGCTCATAGCTGGGGTTATAATTCTTGATGGAGATGATCTGAAGATGAGTGAATGTAATTTACATTTCAGTGCTCAGAGCTCTGTGAAAATCAGAGCGTTCAGAGATGGCTGGACCTGCATCCTGGCTGGTAGCAGGGCGAGAGAAGGGATGTGCTGGGTGCTCGTGTAAGCAGTTACAACACAACCCTCTAAATTGTGTCAGTCACCCCCACTCCAACTTCCAAAGGAGAATTTCCCTCCTAAGGAATTCTGTGATTTCATTCGTAATTAACAAATTAACATAGTTTAGTGTCAGGGTGTTCTTGAGTGTGAACTTCAGAATAGTTTAAAACTACGTGTTTGCAAATGTGCTTGACGTTTCAGCAATGTTATTTTAGTTTATAGAAATAATGTCGGTTAAACAAGGAATGAAAGGCAACACATGATGATTTCCCAATCTATCAGCATTCCCATATGTTTTTAAAGATAAAAAACAAACACAGATGGCTTTGACTTCATGGAATTTTTCTATAAGGCCTCAGTAACAACCTTGGAGCCTGCCCCCGTATTTGTAATAGTAAGTAAAAGCATTGCCTTATTTTTAGCACATTGGTGCACCAGAATATGTGTGGCAGAAAACACACTGACATTTATGGGAGTGTTTGAAAAAAAATAAATAAATGGTGAGACCGCCTATTTGGACATGAATGGAAGACTGCCCTGTGCTTGAAGAAATGTCCACAAATTTATTTTACATTGAAACTATGAGAATTTGTAGCATGATAGGTATTTTTCCTACCTAAGCACTCCCCTTCAGGGCTTATTGCTCTTATTTGCAATTGACAAGGACTTCAAATTAACTATGGAAAATACAGTAGTTTAAACCTTTTTCAGTGAGAAAGCATTTGGATATTTTCCAGACTTTTGGAATGTTCATGCTTCCTTAAGTAGCTCATTTTTTGTACTTTTTTATTGTCCATCCCTCTTTCCAGCTAATTGTTGTAATTCTAGTTTTAGCTGACCAATTTCTGGTAGTAGGAAGGGTAGATCTTGGAATCAAACCTTAAGGTCCAGGTTGTTGTCAAGTCTCAACAAAGTGCATGAAAAGAATGAAGAAACAAAGGTATAAAATACCAGATGGAGCCCAAGCCCCAGAGTAGAAAACCTTTCTTAAAGTGATGACCCTCCTGCTCTTTTCAAACACCATCAGCTCCAAGGAAGGATATTAAAGAAAGGAGTGGGGTATGGGAGGAGTTCAGGAAAGGGAAGACCCTCTGCAAGAATGGGTGTCATGAGCTTTCCATTAAAGATGATACATCTGATATTCCCACATTTCCTGGGAAGGTTGGATTTCGTGGGTGTAAGGACTGTCATGCAACCCACGTCTGAGGAGCAATGCATGACATTATCTGTTGGATTTTAAATGATTATGTGATATTTTCTAAACTGGTATAATTTTCAAATGTGTTCCTTGTGTGTGTGTGCGTGTGTGTTAAATTTTAAGACAAGTTTTGCTGCTGGAATATATATAAAACTTAATTGTTTTATATAACTTCTCTGCTTTATTAACCACTGGCTCCCCTAATAAAAAGTGTGGGGCTTGACTTAGCATGGCTTACCTCTAAAGTTCTGCACTTTGTTTGTTTTACATCAGTTTGATTGCTTTGTCACCTTCTCCTTATTGTTCGGTGAACGACCTTAAAAACAGCAGATCTTTTCTCTCTTCCCATTGCTGTTTGTTAGTGTTTCTATAGCCTCTAGAGGAGGAACTTTGTGTATTCTCTGGGGACTGTTCTTGGGTAAGGTCATTCATAGTCACACAAGTCCATACGGGGCTGCAGTAGTAATTCAGCAGGAATACAGGAAGCATATTTGACCCTGTGTCAAATATGCACTACCTCACACTAGTCTCCTTACCTGCTTGCCTTCACCAGCTTGCTGTATGCACTGTGCTGGAAACAGGCTGATCTCTTTCTTTCATTTGGCCTTTCCAGAAAGGTTAAAGGTGGACTAGGCACCAAAGGTAAACTGCATGGCAGTGAGCAGTCATCCCACAGCATCTCTGAGGTGCACTGGGAGCCTTCTGCTGGAATGTTCCACGCTTTGAGGTGTTTAGCTTGGGACTTGTCAAAGTACTGTTTTCTTTGTGTTAAGAATGGGTAGGCTAACATCAAACACAAATTTGGCAAAATCCCTGCAGTAGAATATTGTCTTAATTCCACTTTCTTTTCCTGCCACATGTCAAAAAATTGGTGAATGTTGATTGCACAATATTGAGCTGTCTGAATTATGCAATGAGTTCTAAAAGTCCCAAATACTGTGGTCTTTAACCACAGATGTTTTTATAAACAAAAACCTGTTGGTGCAAAAGCACTAAGTGAAAGGATAACATCAATAAGTAAAAAAGTTTATGAAGTATCTTGAATATGTACAGAAACTTGCCAAAACCCACACAGTATATGCAGGAGTTTAGTAAGAACACAATCACCTCTTTGTGTTTAAGCAAAACTGTGAATGACCTTACAGTTTCATTTAACTAACTTACTTCTCTGTGGTTATGCTTGAATCTCACTTTGAATGTTAACTCTAAACAGCTAACCTGTTTCTTCCCTTTATCCACTTTTTTCACCTATCATTGCATGACACGCAGGGTCAGTTTTGTGCATGACACCCGCTACCAGTATTGGTAGGTTCCAAATTTCTTTATTGATCTCTTTTTTTATACCGTATATGATGTATATTCACTTGTTTCAAAAATTCTAGGCGAGATTTAGCCACTGACTAGAATTAAAGGTTTGCTTATCCTTCTGGTTGACTTTGCAGAGTGTTTAGATTTGTAGATGAAAGCTGCAGTTTAGACATGATATCACCTGCTATAACAACTACACTGCAAAAGCATAATACCATGAATTCCAGTCTGCTTTTCAGTTTTCAAAGTTTTATTTCCCTTTATATTTTATATTGTCTAGTACTATAAAATCATAAAATACTGGAAAAAGCCAGCAAATTTCATCAGTGTTTTAAAGTTTCATAGTGGTGTGCCTATTTCTCCTTTGCTGTGTGTTAGAAAGTTTTATCAGCGTTTCCCAGAAATGCCTACTTTGATGCACAGAGGTTCTGTTGAAACTCGTGGTCTGAATCTCACTCCTTCTTTAAATATATTTGCAACCTGAAATTAATATTTTGGGCATGCAAAGTGGAAGTCCAATGCCACAGCCTCTGAGACAGAAAAGTAATCTTTCTTCTGTTGTCCTATCCAGTGATTTTATTTCTGGGTTTTGGGCCCACTCACATAAACAGTTAAAATATCAAGCCTTTAAAACATCAAATTATAATTCCCCTATGAAGATGCTGATTAAAATTCATTCTTAAAATGAGCAAAAGCAGTGTCTTTCACAAAATTGATCTTGCTTTTTTAGATCAAACAAAGTAGTATATATATCAGGATAATTATTATCATCCCTCTCCTGATTTTTGCCTCAAGCAGATGGTAATTTAACTCTGATAAAGTCGAACAGTTATGCGGTGCTAGTAGGAAAAAATGCATAAATTGGATTATAAAGAAAGACAGTGAGTATCTAGCATACTTCAAAATGAAGATACATGAAAATAATTCATTTTTAATTCTGTTTAAAAATTAGGGTGAACATTTAACAGTTTTCTTCCCAGTATAAACCACTGGGGTTTTTTTAGTAGGATTTTATTTTGAAATGCATTATAGCTGTACTGGGGGAAAACAAATTACACATGTAACAATCCGCAGGTAATGGGCTATTTTGGTAAAGGCCTCATTTGCACAAGTAATCTTCTTCTTAGAGACAGCACTTGCATTTTCAGTGGTCCTTACTCTTTTTTTCTGGGAATCGCCGATTGTGTTGACAACCTTCCTTTAATTGTACTTGTAATAAGCTATTTTCCCTTTTTTTTATTTCTCCGCCACGCTTTCTCGCTTTGCACTGTGATTGCATGCCATCTGCCGGTTTAACCCATGACGATGGCTTGCCGCTCTTGATATTCACCATGCCAAAAATACCACTTCTCTTACCATAATGCTGCACCCTCCTGTTCATTGCTTCCATGGTTCCCCTCCTGAAAGTACCCATGATGCACAACGCTACGGCCGCCACTGTCTCTGCAGCAACAACTCCTGCAACAAGTGTTCCCTTCGCCGCAACAGCCACAGCAAATCAGGTTTGCTCCTTTTAAAGCTTTCTTTCACAAGATCCTGAACTCTAAATGAGTGCTGAGATTTTTATTTTATTTTTTTTAACAAAAAAAATTCTCACAGAGAATTTTTTTTTTTATTTCTGTGTTTACCCCATCAAATTTTACTTTTATTTTTAAGTCGTTTATAGCAAGTGTTTGTGGGACAGGTTGCACTTATTTAGAGTTAACATTTGTTGCAAATAATGATGTAGCTGTGTTTTGTGTTGCGATGTTTGTACCTAATTATTGTGTAATTAACCCAGCTGGAGTTAGAATCACCGTAGCACTGGACTACTTACAAAAGTCTATTATTAACTCCTAAGTTCAGAAGGAGGATCGTCACAGGTTTCAAACATTCAGGTGTGTTAATGTAGCCTTCTCCATGAGGTGTGGAAGTGACTAATTTGTAAGCATGGAAGCTGTCAAAAAATCACGAGCAGGACGAGGCAGCTGGAAAAAAAATGTGAATGTTTTGTGTAAATACTAGTGATCAAAACAGCCATGAAGATATTTATGACTATGCCTGCTTTATATTTGAAAGTGTCTCTTTAACCTGGGAATTATATTTCCCTAAGGAAGAACGTTGATAGAAAGAACCCCAAGGATTAATGTCAGAGGTAGGCTAGGAAAGATGATATTTTCTCCTCTTCTTCTGCAGTTTACGTTAATGGCAATTTTCATTTTGGCTGGGTTTCCCCTCCTTCTGTAGGACCTAACTCCCAGGGAAGATACATCTATTGCAGCCCTGGGTGTGTAGCTTTGACTCCTCTGTTGGGGTGGTTCCCACCCTGATGTGCCAAGAGAGGAGTTTGCACAGCAGTTGGGTCACTCTGGCTTTTCTCATGCTCTGGGACCATGCTCAGGCACTTCCACCTGAGATGTGTTCCCCTCAGGTTCTGAGAGGTCAGATGGAAAAGCAAACAAGCAGATTTGCTCACCAGAAGAAAGCAAAGGGCTGTGTCCCCATCATCCTTCCTTGTGTTGCTCCTGGATGGACTGACAAGCTGTTGCAGACCCAGTAGAAATGCTGTCCTGTTGGTTCCTTCCCCTCCACTTGCCAAGAACTTACAAAGAAATATGTGAAAATGTTTTGCTTAATAATGATATACTAACAGGTTTATTTTTTTACTGGCATTCCCAAAACTATTGAGGTATCTCATGGAAAAATAGAACTTGCTGCAAGAGTTTATTTTTAATAATTTAGGAAAAATATACTACCTCTGAAATACATCCTGCTTTCTTAAAGAAATACAAACCAGTCCATTTTCTTTGGGTTTTTTTAAGGTTCGTTTTCCAACATTGTGATGTTTTTGCTTCTAGCATTTCCATCAAAAGAGGATTGTTGTTTTGTGCTTACTTTTCTGAGAGCTAGCTTGTGAAAAATGCTGGGGTTAAGGATGAAAGTGCAGCAGGCATATGGTGCATTACACAGTCCTTCCCAGAACAGTGTCTACAGCAGAAAGTTGTTTGGTGGTATCCAGTGTAGTTTTGTGATCTCAAGGTGGTGACAGAGGGACTTGAAGATGCTAAGGGACTATGAGAAAACGGGATGGTTTGGGGAGAGGTTGAGCCAGGGACCCTCTCCAGCACAGGAATGCAGCTGGGGCAGCTCCACCACCTGCACTCCTGAGTCCCAGAGGGACTGACTGGGGCTGAAGGTAGAATAAATACATGGATGCCTACAAAAGGACCAGTAAGCAGGTGGGGTTTTTTAAGTTAATGAGAACACTGTCATGCAAGCAACTAGTGCCACTGAGAAGACAAAGGTGTGCCTTAATACTCTTCCTCATCCATCAGGATGGCAGGCAGAGCCCCTTCTTTCCCAGTGCAGATTTTGTTTGCATTGGAGGATTATAACATTTTAAATTTAACAGGAATTGTAGAAAGTGTCTGTATTTATCTAGTTGCATATATGTGTGTGTGTGTATACATACAATTCCATGCTGAAATTAATGGATGGTTTAACAGGAGGATAGGTTTTCACTTGTTTAACTTCAGCCATTTGTAAGTTTGGCATCTAGATCATCTGCTTTTCTGGAAGTCTCTGTTAGGACTGGGAAAATTGGCCGGAGGGTCTTGCCTCTGTCCCTTGCCTGTAGAATTAATGTAGGTGTGCTACCAAAGCTCTGCACCACTGCATGTGGAGGAGATGAGTCCCACCTCAGGAGCTTGTTGGCTTCTGTAGCATGGCCATCACAGTCTTCTTTTTTCTCTCTCCTGTCTTTGTTTTAGTCATTTTAAGTCTTTAAAAGCTCCTGTTAAAAAAAAAAAACCATGTATTTCAAAGTAGGGAAAGCGGTAGTATTTCATTCTCCTTTATAAGAGACAAAACTCCAAGTTTTCTGCTTATTTACAACATCCTAAGGTTGGAGACAAAGCTATAATGCCCGGAAAGCCCCACGGTAACTCTGTGGCTCTAATTCTCAGTATTTCTTTAGCCCAAGAAACATAGCAGGAGCAGGTTATTAACTTGGTAATTAGCATGACTTTGTTCATGGTCATAGCATTCTTTGTGTCCTCTTGTATGGGTTTCAACTCTCCTGAGTATTTCAGAAAAGGACTTTTTTGTTCCCAACCAGATAAAATTTCCTTTTCTAGTCTGTGCTACACTGCTTTAATATCTGTGAGGTACAGTTTCCTCTTTCCAATGTCTTTACCATAGGTTTTTTTACAACCTGCAGCCTTCAGCTTGTCCCATTTCAGCTCCCACAGCTTCTCCTCACAATTCTGGGCATGAAAAGAAAGTTTCAGCAGGCCTTAATAATTTATCTTAATATCATTTAGTTTAGTATTCTGACCTGGGGAAAGATTGCAGATCTTCCTGGGATTGAGTGTGATGATCCCAGTGTCTTTGAAGCACAAGTGGAAGGGAAAAGTCAACATCCCAAAAGTTATGGAGTCTCAGCTGATGGCTAATGAAACATAATAACTCTGTTGGGTCCAGTAAATTATTTAGTACATGCTATCAGTGTCTATTTTGAAAAAAAAAGTCACTAAGTCCCATGTCTTCTGTATATCCTTTCTTTCAGAAAATAACATGAGTAAGAGCTCAAAACACACCTGCACTGGCACACACTGTCAGTCATGCTTGGCCAGCAGCTCTGGGCATTGTGTGTTCAATGTACGGCCTGAGGCACATGAGAAGATTATGTAGACTTAAAGGCTGAATGTACTGTGTACATCTGTGCAGGGTGACACCAGTTAAGAACATATGGAAAATTTGGTATCCCTTACTTTTTCTGACTTAAAAAGGCTAGGTTTAAAAAGTAATTTTCTTGCAGTGTACTACAGAGGGGAAGAGAATTGCTTTAGTGCAATGCAATGTAAACAGGATGCAGCAAAATGCCCCCCTTACTGTAGCTGCCGGGCTGTGGTGAGAGGGAATGGAGGGGAGGGGACTTCAGCTTTCCAGTGAAAGGTAGCTGGAAAGGTCCAGGAGCATGACTGGTCAAAGGTAAAAGGCCCTTCCCCTTTTCCTTC